ATGCCCTAGTTTCATTGGAATAGGCAAAAGCATAAGAAGAGTGGTCAGAGGAGCAATTGTAGCAACATAAATTGTAGTCGTATGCAGCTGGCTATAGCATTAGGTCCACTGGAAGTATAAACACTTTTAATACTTAGAATCCATGGCAGTTAGGCAAGATGTTCTAATACCAAGTTAGTATAGAAAAGAGAGGACGAGTAGTGTTTGTTGAGAAAAAGTAAATCTCAGATGTCCAAAGAGAGTGAATAATAATAATCTATACAGGGATACAAATGTCTCTATATATAAGATAAAATGCTAATGTTACACAAATGTTATATTGCCCTACTTGTCTCCCTTCAAACATCACACTCATTTTTTATCACACATTCACACAATAAAATATTTTGCCCGTAAATCTAATACTTTTTCTTACTTTTTACCACACATCTTCCAAAAAAATCGTTATTCAAAACATCATTTTTTCCTTAATAATAACCAACAAACAGGGGCTTAACTCCAATAAGTCAAGAGTATGCCAAAGACAAGAGGGGAACTAGGTTCTTGGCTTAATGGAAAAAAAATAGGTGGATAACTATTATCAGTGCATTTCATACATCATCCAACAATATCTCAACATCAAGAACATGAGCTTTACATTATAGATTTTAACTCCCATGAACTATTTAAAATCTCTCTTCCTTTCTCTCACATGAATAATCCAATGAGTGCCGATACTTATCTTTTGTAAAGCATCGATGACATGTCATATAATTTCATTGGTAGATAATCTTATGGTGGGCTTCAACATTTGAATTAAGTTTAAAATTCATCAATGGATTTATTTGACACGTCACCAACACTTAAAATAAGATCAAAGGCGGCCTTGAGGGTACACAAGTTGCGCGACCGTGCAGGGCCTTAGTTTGTAGGGGCACCAAAAAAGTTTGTTATAGGTGTTCATATATGTATAATTATATATTTAAAATGGTTTATTAATTTTAAATTTTTATTATTATATTAAGTTAAAGGATACAATATTTATGAAAAATTGTAAAAAAAAAGAAAGAAAGAAAGAAAAAGAAAAGGAAAAAAAAGAAGAAGTTATATTATGTTAATATTTTTTAAATTTAACATATTATTGAAAAGAAATTTTTTTCCCTAATTTTAAACTATTTGCTTTTGAAAAAACAAATATTTTACACTATCTATTTTATCAGCCCAATCTCAAATACATAATTAGCATCATTAACAAATTGCCAACTAAACAAGATAATAAATGGTCCAAAATCTAAATGATTAAAGAGAAGAATGAAAAGTTCTCCAAATCCCTTTTCGTCGTTTCCCTTACTCCCATCCTTTACCCCACGAAGAACACACAAACAAAGAAGAGAAGAAACTCTACGGTCAGTTTTTATCGCTTGCTCTAAAATAGTACAATCTACATCGTAACATCACCATTTTATTGGTGTTGATTGTCTACTTGTTAATTGTTATTTCGTGATTTTTTTTATTCTAGAAGGTTAAGTTTTTGTTACATGAAAGGGACACCATTTTAATTTTTTTTATTGTTGCTGGTATTTTTTTTTTTTTAAGGGACACCATTTTAAAATGTCACACAAGGCACCCAAAATCTCAGGGCAAGATATGCATAAGATGAGCACTGTGCTTAGTAGATCATACCTTTACATATATATACAAGATTTGGAAGGTTCCTTAAGTCAGAAGTTGCCACAAAGTACAGGCACACAGAAACTAATAAAATCAGAAGAATGCTCCTTGATTAAGTTATTTATTCCTTGCTGACATTAATAAAACAAATTTTCAGCCTAATAGTGGCATACAGTTAAAGGTAAATAGATTGCTATATTAGTATGTGTGTAATTAATATATTCATCAATAGGAAGATCAAACAACCACGGAAATGATATGTCACTACGATGCAAAGCAAGAGTGCAAGAAAAGAAAAAGAAAAAGAGGATACGACACTACAAGTTACCTGCACAGGGAGAGCAACACCAAGGTAAGTCTTAATATCAAGTACAATATTTGGGTTTCCATCCCACTGCATCTCTAACTCCATGGTGATACCTTCAGTTTCATCTTCAATAATGGAAACCCCTGAATAACTTTAGAGAATTAGTAAGGGCATTAACTTTTTCATTTCAGTAGTCATAAAAGAAGCAACTGATATACATCCCTATCGACAGAGCTCATTAGAGAAGATACTGTTGAGGCTACCAATAACAAATGCAATAAAAGATCGAAGAGTAGCTATATATGTATTTAGATACCTTCCAATAAGCCCTTGTTTGGGCTCCATCTCAATGAGTTTTTGGGGAAAAAATGTATTATGGAATAGTGATTTTTTGGAAAATAAGCAGTTAAAAAGTAAGGAAAAGTTTTGGTTTTATATGTAATGTTATTTTGCTGTAGAATGTGTGGTTGAAAATGAGTTTTGAAAAAATATATTTTTGGTTTAATAGAGCCCAAACAAGGGCTAAGTAAGATAAATTCTTACATTATCTCATAAGGAAAACATAACTTAGCATTTCATATTTCATCAACTGTCCACTATCTTTACGGTATGAGAAAATGCAAGCAATTGAAATCCCTTTGCTTTACCAGAAGAATAGCCAAATATAGTTAATCTCATTATTGTTTTACCATTTATTGAGGTGGCAAATCCATCTCAACATATGCATCATAGAAGAGCTTGAATTCCACATATTTAGATCTTATGAGTTTATGGTATTCTAACTTGTGGACTCCTCGATCTCTCAATGCCTAGTGCCCTGTAAATATTTGGCAATTTACTCCCCATTCAAAGCCTAGTTTTCTCATTCACCCTATTTGTTAAGTTGTAGAGCCTAATTATTGTAGGTGTGCAGAATTCGTATGCTATCAGCCAAAATTTCATTAAGAATGGTTTAGGAATTTTACATTTGTAATTTTGATTTTGAATTAATATTTATTTAAATAGGGAGCCATGATTAGGGTTTTGTGATCATCATTAAAAGAGAGGTTAGAGAAGATACGGGATGCGATTTTTCACATGAAAACTTTTTTTGATCATAGTGAATTCTATAGCGGTGAACGAGGACATAGTCCCACACTAAAATGAATTTCTATAAATCTTATGTGTTCTTTTGTGTCTTTGTGTCCTTATAGCAATTTATTGCTCTTGGCATTATAGAACTATGGCATGTGTTTGGGAGGCATTTTCATCCCAAAATGCAGTTTGGTATCACATCAAGTGGGCCACTAATTCTGACAAGTGTCATATTTGTGTGTAATGTTAGTGCCAATTTTCTGATTTTATCCTATTGTTGTTCGGAGAACTTTTGTGGGAAGAGAAACCGGTTAGACACAAGGGCAATTGTAGAAAAATTATTTTCAACCGCCTTAAATTAGTACAGGTCTAGTCAAAATTGTCAGAATAAATGGAGAAAAGGCTTTTCAAATGTCACTTTTCTTCTAAAAAGGAGGTGAAAAATCTTGCGCAAACAAGTGCAAGGTTTCTAATTCTCAACGCTATTGACTTCAGTTATGACAACTGACAACTTGCCTAATTTTAGGCTCTAATATGATGGTTGAACTACACAAACTATCAAAGATACACAATAAATTTTTAATCTGCTGATCAATTTTCTACTTCTCATTCTTTCAAGCTTCGTCTTGTCCTGGCATGAATGTCCAATACCATGAGTGATAACCTCATCTAGGGTACATGAGCACATTACCTTGAAAGCATTTTTAGATAAAATGGCAAAAATTTGTAAGATTTCTTATTCCCATATTATATTTAATACCTAAGAAACACTCATCCAGTTACATTAGATGCACACATGAAACATGCGAAAAACACATCAGTATTGAACTTGTGAATAAAGCAAGGGAAGAGAAGAATGAATCAGGCTGCTTAACTAATGCTCTTGACCAAATCTTTTAGATCAAGTTAAATGCTCGAAAAGACTACCTGTGAACTGAGGAGCTACGGTTCCAAGCGTTAACTTGGAAAATGTCAAAGACGCCAAAATCACCGGTCTATATTGCTCCAAGATTGGTTCTACATTTGCCTTTATGAGCTCAGACGCTGCCTTTAAACTCCAAGAATTTAAAAATTAACAAGTACTAAAACAAAATTTTTTATACAAAATATACAGTGAAATTTTTACCTCATTGACGTAGGGCCAAATTTTTTCAAGATGAAGATTGAGCCAAGTCAACTGAAAACGTATAAAAACAAATAAATGATCAAGTACATTACACCACATTTACATACAGATTATATGGTAAAACTAACCTTCTGGCGCTGGGAGAACACAACCCATGAAGGGTAATACTCCGGTGACAGTAACTTTCTAGAATCTTCCACCGTCATTCTAGCAAATGCCGCAACTGTAGTAGCCTATAAATTTCCACCATTTTTTATTTTTTTTTTGAAATAAAAAAAAAATCTCAGTTCTATGAAGGATTTTATGTTCCAAACACAACTAGTAAACGATTTGCAACTTACAAGGTCGGAGCGTTGCTTGGATCGAGCGTTTTCAGATCGAACAAAAGCAACAATTAATCCCAGCCCGAAAACTACTCCAATTACTAAACCCACAAAAAATCCCATTGCTATTCAAATAGTAAACAGTTTCAACTAGTACTTGTGCGTCACTGATTTTGATTTCTGTGTCTGGTGTGCTGGTGTTTGAGTGCTTTGGTTTCTCAGGTAACAGTGATTAATTGGAAAATTAAGGGAGATTAGAATTCTGTAATCTGTTCTTAAATTCTCGAAATAATTGTATTTTACTAATTTCTCGATGTAATCAAGAAATGGACGGCAAAAATCCAGCTGGGAATTGGTAACTGGATGCTTAATCGTCGTCAATATATTTGACTAGATGTGAAACTGTAGGGAAAAGACTGCAGGGGATCTTTCACGCTTTTTGCTATGGATACTTGCTATCTTCAAGGGTCTGAAAGGTATGATGCCGACATTTGAGTTGACTACCGAAAATAGTTTTTCGAAATGGACAAAAGCTGAAATTGGTTGTTGAATTGTACGTTAATAAACTGTATGAGAATTATCAACTGTATTCCGTCCTTTTGCTTCAAAAGTTTCCTATTTTAAAGGGGCCTAAAAAGCGTGATTTGTCGACATCTGAATTGACCCCACATTTCATATACAACATTTATGTTCGATTGAGATGATATTTACGTAATGTTTGAACCATAGTCTTTAAAAAATATATATATATTAAACAATGATTTAATATCATTTCAATCACAAATTTTTCAATAAAATAATATTACACTCAAATTTAAAATTCTTCCTTATTTTTTAACCACACATTTTCTATTAATACACTATTTAAAAATGTATTTTTATGAAAATAATGTAGCTCAAACAAGGGCTTATTTTGATTAAGATATTTTGAGGGTGCGAAGGGAGGTTGGACAGTAATTTGGTTATGCGACTCACTTATCAGTTCCCACGAGCATACGAGTCAATTTGTCAAATTGAGAGAAATATGTAGTCTCTATAGAAAAAGGGGAGTCGAACTGAACTTTTCAAATTGAAATAAATATGTTATAGAAAAAAGTGAGCCTGAGCCAACCGACTCGCCCAACCAAGGGACGACCTCGCGAGGTGAGTTGAGCTATACTTTTGTTGGGTGAGTTGGCTTGTTTGATGAGCTGAGTCCAATGGTTGACTCGTGCCCATTTAACATCTCTACTAGTACTTTGCTTTATTTATTGAAAAAGTTTTACCATAAGTCTCCAATTTATGGTAACTCTCCAGTTTTATGGCCTTCATTAAAACTTGTCACTAACATTTTTTTTTTTGGTAGTGCCTATGTAGTGGCAGCTAGAGTGATTGCAAGGATGAAGCATAAATTCTTGCACAGGGGTGGAGCTACTATACTCGTGAAACCCGCAAGCGTACGAGATCGTTGACGAGTAATATCCCTTATTTGAGCCCCATTTTAGAGGAGAAAATGAATTTTTGAATAGTGTATTGATGGGAAACGTGCGGTTAAAAAAATAAGAAAAATTTTTTGATTTGCGTATAATATTATTTTATTGAAAAATGTGTGGTTAAAATAGTGTCAAATCACTGTTGAAAAATGTATATTGGTGAAAAAATGGGGCTCAAACAAGGGCATAATAAAGTGAGTTATCGTCCCACGAAGAATAATGTTTAATTCCAGTTCACTAGTTATTACTAAATTTGATGTCCGTGACACAAAAGATGTGATTTTGTTGTTATTTAAACTAATTCTAAACTAAGGAAGCAATAAAAAGTGTTTTGTCAAATTCGTGAATGTTTGTATTAAAATCGTGAATTCCCTTATTGCCATTTATTTTAATTCTTGATTCTTAATATAGTCGATTTCATGCTTCATGACAATCGATAACACTAATGTATTTAATTCTTTTTTTCAAGACAAATTAATTCTATTTTAATCACGACCCGACATTTCTAGTCCGAATTCATATGATCAAAATGCATTAAATTATAGGTTATCTATGTAATTGCATATGTGATAAGGATTAGTCCTAATTCCATCTACATATGTTGATTTTGCCGCATTTGAAATTTATTGTGAGCCTCCCAACACTACAACAAACAACTAATTATTCAATCGATTGCCAATCAATTAAATAATGCAATATGTATGCAAAATCAATCAAGAAATAACTAAATTAATTGTCTTAAATCAAAACAAATAAGCAATAGAGTTCATCATTCATCTAATGCAATAGAAAAATTAGTCTAACATTCTAATGATTAAATGATACAAGAAATATTGGAAAAACATCACCCGGAAATAAGAAACAATGAAGAGAGTGGAGAAATCCAATTTCTTGGCTTGAATCTTGAAAATGGATGAATATTCTTCTATAAACTTCCATAATCCACATTTATCTTCACGCTTGGCCTCGTTCTTCGCCTCCAAAATATGTAGAATATATGATTTTTAGGTAAAAAAGGAGGTTCCCTTTGTTTTGGACGTCTATATCTATATATATATATATATATATATATATAGAATTTCAGAACAAGGAAACAGACACGTCACAGAAAATTTGGCTTGTGATCGCGCGCCATATATTTCACTGCGCGCGTGCTACTTTTTTTTTTACTCTTGGTATGCAAGAAATGAGGTCCCGCGTGCACCACTTTAAGCCTGTGCACGAGCGTCGAATAAAATAATTTCAATTGTTGTACTTTGATCCCTCAATTTCAATTTTCATTCATTTTAACTCTTTTTTGATATATTCTTACTCCCTTAGCTTTCAATTCCATCCAATTGAATTCACACCTTCTCCAAGAATCGATTTTGGGTCCGAATCAACTATTAGCACATTGCATTTTAGTCCTCAAACTTTGGAATTCCTTCATTTTCGCATGCTTTTTCGTTCTTTTCTTCCAAATCTATCAATGTGCGCTGATTTCAATCTAACAAACATAATTAACACAAAATTAGGCTATAACTCATTGAAATCACTAACAAATATCCTAATTTAACGGTCTAGATAAATGTATAAAATACACTTATCAGCTACATACAAGTTAGTGCACGTATTGGCACGCACTAGATTTTGAGCTTGACACGAGAAGCTCCAATGTGCCTGTACTGGACCAAGAAGAGACGAATGGAAAAAGCAAAATAGAGAGCATGCATTGACATATGAAGAAGCCTGAAGCGAAGTCAAAATTTACAGTCGTCGGGAGGAAGAAGCTTGAAGCTCAGCCGCACATGCATATGAGATGGAAGAAAAGATGGCAGTTCAAGGTTTTCTTTTTTTGGGGAAAAATTCATAAGTAAGAGTTTAAATATCACAAATTTCAAAATCAAGAAAACAAGTTTTAAACTTCAAAAGTCATATTTTTATTAAAATTTATTTATAATTTTATTAATTAAATATATATAGGTCACATATCTATACAATTTGGCCACAAATATGATTTAGTTAGTTACTTATTACTTTTTTGGTCAAAAATCAAAAAATTTATGTTACAAATTATTTTACGATCACAATTCAATAAATTTATAGGTTATAGTTTGTTCACCGTCACAGATTTATCTGTCACCATTTATTTGTTGGTCACAAATTATCATATTATTAATCACAAATTAACAATTTTTTAGGTTATACATTATTTCTTTATCACAATTTATATTTTTTATTGGTCACATATTATTTATTATTCACAAATTAACTAATTTAATGGACCACCCTCACTTGCGACCACCCTCTCACTATTATTTCCAATACCACTATCGTTGTCTCCAAAAACACCACCACCACCACCATCGCACCCATAGTACCACAAACCGCACCTACAACAATACAACCGCACACATCCACTGCAGTCACCAAAACCACCACCACTACCCTAACAAACCCATTACCACCACCATCTCACCATTACAATTGCAACCACCAGCACGACCACAACTGTCGCACGCACACGCACACACCCAACCATTGCGCTACCATTGCACCCACAACACCACAATCGCACCCATAGCAACACAGCCGCACACACACACCACCACAGTTGCCAAAACCACCACCACCATCCCTCGACAGCAACACCACGACCATCACAACCACAGATCGGGACTATTGTAGCCGGTCACCAACACTACCACTACCAACACCCAAACATAATTTCGATTGAGATGGCGCACTGCCTAGAACATGGAGACAACACCTGGGCTGTCACAACCACAGATCGAGACTATTGTAGCTGCGTCACCAACACTAGCATCACCAATACCCAAACCTAATTTTCCAAGGCATTGTCGTAACAGTAGCACTAATGCTACTGCGAATGATGTGGGACGCATGGCTTCTTCACGGAACCTAACAGCGCGGCCAACCATGCACACATACCTCCGATGTGTGTCGTGAAAGAAAAGCTGGATCTGTGGCAGTGGTGGGTCACCGGTCCGATCTACAATGAAGGTGTGGAGAAGGGGAGATGAGAGAGTGAAGAGATGGGGGTTTTGGAAATGGGATGGGATGAATTTGGGA